CAAGGAGGAGATGCTGGAAGTCTCTCCGTGAGGGGCAGGAGGATTCTGGGCACCAAGCACTGATGGGACAGAAACGGAGTCTCCCTTGAAGGCAGCTAGCTGCCTGGTGGTCTCCACCTTCCTCACGGAGCAGCAGGGATCCCCAGCGGGTTTTGCACTCATGGGATCATAACCATTGTCTCAGACCTCAAAGCTGCCTGGGCACCTGGGAGGCTGAGAACAGGGAGGCCTCACATTCTGGACACTGTGGGGGCATCGTTCTTGGGTAGGGTAGCACTGGGGCTCAGTGGGGCATGGGAAGTGAACCCTCTCTCTGCCCTACCCCTTGCTACCTGCCCAGCTTGGGAGCGGTAGCCGGGGGCTGAGAGAGCATCCAGCCCAGCTCCTTCAACTTACAGAAGAAGGTAGCTGAGGCCCCTCACTGAGCCTTAGCTCTTTCCTAAAAGGGACATGCTCCTGAAAACCCGCCCTCTGGGGGCTGATGCTGGCATATGAGAAAGGAGTACCCTTTGTCGGTCTTAGTAGTAACAATATAACAATGCTAACTGACATTTAAGTGCTCACTTGTGCTAAGGGCCCTACACATATTTTATCTCATTCCATTAACACGCCAAATCCCCGAGGTTTAAAGATGGGGAAACAGAGGCAAGGCTTGCAGAGCTGGGATGTCTCTCCAGAACGCAGTGCTGTTCCTTGGCTGGTTGGTTGGTTTTAGTGACTCTTCATGGATGGGGCACTTCTCAAGCCAAGGCCATGGCCCTGCCTCTCTGCCCTCGGCATCTCTGCTGAATGGTTCACCTCACTTGGCCCAACCTTCTTTCCTGTTTTCAGTCCCTTGTTGATGTTGTGACAATGACTCAGTGGGGCTCGCCACTGCCCCCTGCACGTGGCCTCCTGTGCTCCGGGACCGCACCTGCCACGTGACCTTGGGCGGGTTGTTGTCCCTTCTCGGGAGCCTCAGGCTTCTCACCTGTAAAATGCAGATGCTATTCCTGACCTGATCTCACAGGATTGCCAGAAATCTCCGTAAGGCAACATTGGTGACATGCTTAGCGTGTGCCTGCTCTGTAGGAAGCACTTAGTCTGTGTTCGCCAAGAACACTGCAAACCCAACTGCCTGAAAGCATGAAAGTGCCCCTGGGCTATTGGTTCAGTTTCTCTTCTCCCTGATGCCCCAGGAGTGGCTGGGGCCTCGCGAGGGGGTCAGAACCTCTGCCCTGTGACCCTTCCAGTAAGGTTCGGGGGAGAAAGGGAAGGGGGTGTTTTCACTTCATTAGAAACAGAACTTCTTGGATTCACATCTTCTTTCTGGGCAGGAAGAAACCTTTGCCGCTCGCCCCCGGGCAGGTCAGGAAAATCCCCGACTGGCGGAGCCTGAGCTGGCTCTGAGTCACTGTGCAGAAGCCGATAAGGATTCCTGGACTTGGGCACTCAGAGCTGTGACCACTCCTAAGCAGTGCTTTGTCCTGACTGAGTCCCACCCTGGGCCCTGGACAGTTCCACGCCAGAGCGGCCGGGCAGGTGACCTTGGCATAAAGGCTCAGTACGAAAATCCTTGGTCCCTTTCCTCTTCCTCGAAACTGATCCATCTCCTTGACTTTGATCCAGAATGGACCCGTGCTCCCAGCTTTTCTCAGCATCTCTAACCCAGAACTCCACAACTGGACTGGGAAAGACTGTCAAAATCCACTCATCCAGTCTTTTCTCTTATTGATAAGGCCACGGAGGCCAGAGATGAGGAGGGACTGGCTCAAGACAAAGAGCCCAGCTCAGCCTGGTGGACTCCTCATGCTGCCTCATAAGTCACTTCTTCCAGGTACGACATTGGCATTGGCCTGGCATTCATTACTGGTTGTCAATAGCTGTGCATCCCAGGGAATATGTCTTCACCCGGGGTGATGAATCTCACCCAGTGCTGGGGCCACTGGGGCCTGGGCTTGGGCCGAGTCTACCACCCCAGAGCCCGGATGCCTGGCCTCCCCACTCAGCCCTGGGGGAAGTCCACCCTTTCTCATCTCCCCAGGCACGTTAGGCTCGGGTCTGGGATGTACACCTGGGTGCCAGGAATAAAAGGATTCATCCAGCCCTTCCCTCCACCAGCATTAATGAAACACTAGTTGTCTACGTGGCACCAGGTGAAGCTCTGGGTTTACAACCATTTTTGACACAGATTCCTGAAAAGTGGTGGGACACTGAAAACACGTCAAAATGGGCTTCCTCACAGATCATTTTTAAAAAGCAGGATGTATATATTCTCATGATTTGCAAAAGTAGCCAGCCATGTCTGTCTCTTATTTTTTTTTTTTGCCAGAAGTCAACAGTAAATAAGTAATTTATTTAAAAAACTGAGTGTGTCCCTTTTCTTTCTTTCTTTTTTACAAAAAGAAAAAAAATTAAAAAAATTAAAAAAATAAAAAACTGAGTGTGTGAAAAGTTCATTAATGAAATAAATGACACAAGTCACGGTCTCCACCCAGTCGAACCGCTTACAGCATTCGCCCGGGAGCACGGGCTCCATGATTCTCTGTCCCTGCCAGGGTTGTGGATTCTTGCCAACAGTCTTTTTCCCTTGCAGGAAAGTTCCACATCTCCCTGGCTTTACCGCCGATGTGATTGACATACGACACCGTGTAACTTTGAGGTGACAACAGCTAACCCTTCGATTCTGGTGGCCCTGCCACTTCTCGGGCTCTTACGGGAAGCCTGGGCTGATGCTGGTGACCTATTGTCTCTCTCGTGGAGGAGCCTAGTGGTGACCACCGTTCTTGGCTTCTTCCTCTGTTCCCTCCCCATGATGTCAATCCGCATTTTCTACTCAAGTGTTTACTCCGAAGTTTTATAGAGATGCACAGAAAACACATACAGTTACAGAGCAAGGGCTTAATACCTCCAGACTCTCCAGCGTCAGGCGGTACATGCGAAGGTGCTCCTGGCTCAGAAGGAGTCTGGGGAACGGCCCGTCCCCTCCTCTGCTGGCTTGGCCACTTGGTGGGACTTCTGAACTAAGCTGCCACTGGGTACGGCTCTAAGATTTGGGTGGGGAGTTTAAAGGATGTGGTTCTGAAATCAGAATGTGCCTATGTAAAAAAGATTTTAATCATGAGCTTGATTTTTTAAAATTCCCAAATCCTTGTAAGTGAATTGCTGATGTGGGGAGGGGTGGGGGTGGCATCCGAAGGAGGGTGCGGCCCTGCCTTTGGGCAGCCCTCAGGGAGGGGTGCGATGAGAGGCACGCCCACTGGAGACCATGGGGGACAGGGTGGCGCTGGGGAATTCTGCTTGGGAGGTTCCCGAGAGAGTGCCCCTGGGAAGGATCATAGGGGCTTCTGCTCTGTTTTCCCCTTTTTTTGGAGGGCCTGGAGGGGTGGCGGGGCTGTCGGCTTCCGGATCACGGTGAGTTGAGGGTAGGTCAGGGGCTGACTGCAGAGGCCCATCCCTGGGGGAGGGCGACGGGGTCCCTAAGTTATGTGCTTGGGTGAACCTTGCTCCCAAGGTGGGAAAATAGAGCAGGACTGGGGCTGACACCCTCGTGAGGGTGAGGAGAGAGCTTTTGGGAACAGGGAGGGGCCGTCCTGTGTCTGACCCATGATGACCTACAGGAGGAAACTCCCAACAGCACCAACCACACATACCCCACTTCATGGGGCAGCTGAAGCTGGGAGGGAAACACATTATTTAGAGCCAGTCCACAGGGAGCCCTCAAGGGTTCACTCAGCAGACTACCACACCGCGCCCCCTGCAGGGGTTTCCTGCTCCACTTCCCAGGGGCCTGGCTGGCCTCTAACGCCCAGAACTAGGACTGGGATAAACTGTTCATTAAAACCGTGCCCTTTCCGGGGCGCCTGGGTGGCTCAGTCGTCAAGCGTCTGCCTTCGGCTCAGGTCATGATCCCAGGGTCCTGGGATCGAGCCCCGCATCGGGCTCCCTGCTCAGCGGAGAGCCTGCTTCTCCCTCTCCCACTCCCCCTGCTTGTGTTCCCTCTCTCGCTGTCAAATAAATAAATAAAATGTTAAAAAAACAAACAAACAAAAACCGTGCCTTCTCAGAACTGAAGTGAAACCGAAAGGAGGAGTGGTGGGAGGAACGCCTGGCCTGGGCCAGGGCTTGGCGGGGCAGGGGGCACATTTCCCTCGGGGGCAACTGAGGGGGCAACTGAGCCCGGGGGCTTCACCACCCACAACAGAAGGAAGGCTGGGCTGGGAGCCAGAGCCCATTTCAGTGCTTTAGGGGGCTGGGCGTAATCCAGCACTTACCTCGGACGGGGCTGCCCTGGCCCACTGAGCTTCCAAAAAGTCTACGCTTTTGCTCAGTTGCATGAACGCCATGTGGCCCTGCTGACGGGCGACACCTACGGGCAGTTGTAAAGGCCTTTGATGATAATAAACGATGCAATTGGGTAATAAACATAATGAAAACATGCACTTTGGTACACAGACTCTTTTAGGATATGATGTCCACGGGGCAAAACACTTGGAAAGAGGTTTTTTTTTTTACTTCCAGGAAAAGACAATTCAAGGTCACTCCCAAATGCAAAGACAAGCAGAATGAAGAAATGAGGCTCCTCCTGCCAGGTGGCTTCTCAGTTTGTCGTCCCGGGAATCTGGAATGAAGTTTAGGAGGGCTGCGTCCCCTCCAATCCCAGGGACAGGCCTTAGCAAGCCCTGAGTCCCGTTAATAAATCCTCCCTGTAACAGTGGCCTCTCTGGAGCCTGCTGGTGCCTGGCCGGGCGCAGAGGCCGCGCCGAGCTCTCACAAACTAATGCAGGTCCTTGTGAAAATGTTAGGGCATCTATTCTGTCTTCACTGCCCAGGATTCTGGGGACAGTCGGGCTGTGGGCTTCTCCCCTTGAAAGGCCTGCAGTTTAAAGACATGTCCACCAGGTGGCGCAAAGCCTCCTTTTTCGTGCGGCTGTTGGAGCCCACTGTCTGTGGACAGTGTCTGTTCTGCGTGGGGGCGAGTCGGCCTTCTCTTACTAGGATGTGAATACAAATCTCCAACCCAGGACTACCCGGTAAGTAGACATCCAGCCCCTGCTTAAACACCTCCGGGGACGGGGCGCTCACCACCTCTGGGGAGAGGGTAAGTAGCCGAATGGGGGTGGGGGGGAGGAGTGAAATTGAGGGTACCAAAAAAGCCACCTGTTCCGTGATAATGTCACCCTTCCTTTCCCAACCCTCAGGCCGCTGGCTCTTTGTTAGGAATAATTTATTATCTCCATCTCTTATCACCTTATCCCTGAGTGGTTTATCAAGTTTCTGAACAGCGGCTCAGACAAGATCTTTCACAGTCTGGGACACAGGCCAGGGGCATGTCAAAAGCCTCTCTCCCTGCCCACCCCACCCCCATCCCCGGACCTGGATTAGGAATCCGAAGAACAGAGACTACCTGAGTTCCCTCGTGGCTTTAGTGAAGTCAGCCTTCTGGGCCTCAGTTTCCATATCTGTAAAGTGACTAGCAGCATCCTTTACCCTGCCTGCCACATTAAGTTGTTGAGAAATTGCCGATGAAATGATGCATTTGTTTATTTAACAGATATTTATTGAGCACCTACTATAAAGTAGGCACTGTTCTAGAAACTAGGGAAGATGTAAGTAAACAAGAAATAGTGCATCTGATGTCAGGTGGTGTGGTAAGTGCCATGAAGGAAGATACAATGGAGTCAAGTGACACGGTGGGGTGGTGGGGGGAGGATTCTAAATTGAGCTGTCAGAGATGTGACAAGCATGTGAAAGCAGGAGCAAGTCATCTTCACTGACAGCCATTTCCCCCTGTAGTCTGTCTGTGCCCTTCTCTTTGGCCTATAGTTCCCACCGTGAAAGTGAGACAGACACTGTTTCTGAGTATTGAGATAGACAGTTGTTAGTTTCTGTTACGTGCAATCAGACGCAATCCTAGTAGATATGAATGATTCAGGCGGAAAGGCTGGGAGGAGAAGACCAAACTGACCCAGAGCTACTCCTCTCTACTCCCCGCTTTTCCCCATGGGGGAACCACAAACTAAGGCCGATGAGATCATAAATTCTCCTGAACAGGCTTCTACTCACCAGCTCAGGACCATCTACACGTCTCAACTCAAGAAAGCACTGTGTGTTTTTCAAAGTTCTCTGGCTGGAAAGCCCCAGAGTTCTAAATGTGGCTCTTGAAATCCCAGCAATTCTTTTTTTTTCTTTTTTCTTTCTTTTTCTTTCTTTTTATTTTTTTTAAAGATTTTATTTCTTTATTCATGAGAGACAGAGAGAGAGAGGGGCAGAGGGAGAAGCAGGCTCCCAAGGAGCAGGGAGCCTGATGCGGGACCCGATCCCAGGACCCCGGGATCATGACCTTAGCTAAAGGCAGACGCTTAACCATCTGAGCCACCCAGGCGCCTGAAATCCCAGCAATTCTTATCAGGAGATTTCCCTTCAGTCACAGACTCCGGCTAGTGACATGCTCAGGAATGAAGGGTGATCTGGAATGAAGGGTGCCTATCAGATTATCAGGGAGCAGATGTCTGGGGGTGGCTGCCCCTGGTGAGCAAATCTCCAGAGAGATTCTGAAGCGGCTGACAAAGTACTTTTCTCCCAACCATCCCTTATGAGGATCACGATCGGACTCTTGTTTCAGGGACAGGACAACTTAAGATCAGAGATATCAAGGGGAGCCCGA